CCGATTGGTTGCGCAACAGAACCAGAGTGTGGTTACGGCCGGAAGACACCTGTCGTACGGCATACCGGCGCTCATCGACAACCAGTTTCTGTTTGCGCGGCAGAAGGATGTGCTCGTCCTCTATGCCGCCCAACCCTAACTCGCCGTTGGATGTGTTGCCCCAACAGTACACCCGAGCCATGGCTCACACGCGTTGTCACCGCAACTGATCCGCCGAAGTGTGCGACCGAAGAGACCACGAGTTGTCGTCAATTTAGTGCTTGTATTGAGTGCTGTGTTTGAGTCACGCATTCATTCACTCAACCATTGCTTGCAATGCAAACACAATCACAACACAAATGAATGAACTTTTGAAACCGAAAACAGATTTGCATTCAATGAGCAAAACACTGAAAAAAATGACTTTTTTCTCGAATATTCATTGCTTTCAATGAAAACAATACGTCATTCAATGCATTCACTGCTGGCATAGCCTATGAGTACATCTTTAGTGCACTCATTAAGTGGCGCTCAAGTCGTCGCACCCGTACGTCAGCTAACAGTCCTTCCAGAATATTCTCCAAATACCCACAACTATATCACTGTATTTGATACCCGGCTGATGTAATCATTACCTAAATTGGTATTTGAATTCATACCAAATGACAAGTTTTTATGATTGAAAGATTGGATACTAATTGAAAGCATAGCAACAAAATAGTGATCAAAAAAGGCGAACAAATTCAATGAAAAACTTTTATAACTTATATTAAGGTAGAAACAATTGTTGAACATTTTATTATTAATAGTATTTAAACTTAATAACAATAATTATTTTCCATGCAATTAAATTTAACATATTTAACATTTTTATTATGAAATTAATAATAAATTCTATGTTTAATTTCAATTTATTAATATTTGTAACAAAGAGTCTAAATCAATGTCTTGACAGCAGATTCTTATATCACCAAATGGATATTGATAATTTTGATATTACAGTAATTTTCTACATGTTATTACAAACAATTTCTAATAATAAAGTGGCCGAATGTTCACAATTACTATGTTTTATTCAACAATGATTAGCATATGTCCAATAAAGTAGACCATTACACGTCTGAATTTAGGGCACTTCTCAGATAATGCGGACATATCGGGGTAATTGTGGTTTATATTACGCCTATGATTACTATGGATAATCAGTGTCTGAAAGTGGGAGTCTTGTGAACGGATCCAAACAAACCATTTGCTCCCCAAATATGTCTGGTATGTCCAAATGCTGGAGCGCCGGTAGGATTGTGTCTATTTTGTCAATGAATTTCTTAAGCCCTTCCACACAACACAGTTTCAGATGTGATATACTTTGTGGCCATCGACTCATCCATTCAAATGAATCCCATTGACTGACGTCTGTTTTGTGATTGCGCTTCAGGTCGAGAGAAATTATCAGACGTTTTAATCCCTTGTAATGTCGTATTGAGTCCATAATCTGGTCATTGAGTGATGGATGAGCGGACACGAGTACGAGTGACAACTTCTTGAGCGACACACACTTTACACCGATTTGTTTGAATGAGTCGTACAGTGAGTAAGTGAAGTAGTCGTGACTCCTTCTCCCCTCAAATCTAAGACTCAATTCAAGTAATTTCGGGAATCGTGTCAATTGTTTCATGAACTCAATGACTGTGTCTTTGGATTCCAGTTTCGGGGGAATACCGCTTACAGAAAGACATTTGAGTGACTGATTGGCGGCAATGAATGTGTTGAACTTGGAGGCATTGAATTGTGAATACATTGAAAAACTAAATGTCTTTAAATTCTTGACCAGTAATTGGTTTCCGGAATCAAAGACATAGTGTAGAGAAAAGACCGTCAGATGCGATAGATTTGGACAACGAGTCAAATATTGTGTCGATTCAGATGAATACACTTTCAAACGAGTAATCTTTTCGCCAAACTTTTCAAACACATATGGATTCACTTCTTCCACATCTGATCTGTCTATCTGGAGGTACAGGTTCTTTAAGTGTGGCCAATGGTCTCTAAACTGTTGGATGGCTTCAAACACTTGTCTCTTATGGTTATAATCATCGAAACAGGCGATTGTCTGAATATTTGGACACTTATTCATAATAATAGCCATACGATTGGTGTCGATGTACTCTTCGGCCAATTCATTCCGTGCAGTCATTCTCTCAACGAGTTGTTTATCAATAGTAATATCTCTAACAGTATTGTAAACCATTCTCTGGAACTGTTTGGAGACTGATTGGTGTCGAAATCGATCCGGAAATGTCTCGTAAGACAGCAATACTTGACACAAATCATCGCAAATTCTGTCGAAAGAATTTCTACTGAAAATGTTTGACATCTTTTTAGACACAACAAGAATAAAACTATTGTTTAACTGTTGACTAGATTTAGAAACCGTTAAACGACTTTTGATTTAAATAATAACTTACTAAACATCTAGAGAATCAATGAATAGATTAGTTTTAACGACTAGATTAAAGTGTTTAAATGGTAAAAATGTCTTCTAAATATATAATCATATTATCATTTATTTTATCTATCTTTGAATGCGATGGTTTTGATCCGGTTTGACATATTTTTTTGACTAATTGTTTCTTATACTATAATAATGACTAAAATATAATTCCAAGGATTTGGACATTTGTAAGAAACCAGTTCTCGACTCATCCATCTATTCAGACGACATAAGCACTTATATATTCAAAGGGAAATACTATTGGAGAGCCAGACAATTAGCATTGGAGTCAGGCATTGATGGTTTTGCTCAAGAAATCTCTGAAAAGTGGCCGCAAATCACACAACCAATCATTGCTTCCTTCTCTGTCTATACGGATCAGTTCACTACTGTTTTTGTTACTGTATTTCATTTTATTACTTTATTTGACACTTAATTCATAATTTATTTATAGAGAGACGAGTGGTTCTCGTATAGAATGGATAAGTTTGTGGCAAAGGGTCCGACATCTTTGTGGTCACAATTTCATTCCTCGGCAGTGAACACAATGTTTTCAGACATGTTTAAGAATACGTCAGTGTATCTCATATACGACAATAGTTATCGATATATCGTCTATGACTTTAAAGACTTGTCTAAACCTACTGTCACTTTATCGGGAATTACTTTTGTTAAAGAGAAAAATCTGTGGTTTATGGACGACCACACCTTCTTCACTGACGATGACTTAACTTTGAAAGATATAATGCAAGTGAAGACATCCATTAGGTATCAAGATACTTTAATTCTGATGTCTGAGAGCAAGTATTGCAAAGTAGATATGATCTTACATTTCAATAAAGAGGTACCGATTTGTCAATTAACATCCGTAACCACTAATCAATGTCTGATCATTTAGTGCGATACAAATGCAAATCTCATTACCGATCTATTCAGTTGTCCACTTGATTTGCTTCAGAGACCTACACTCACCCAATCAACCACTGCTAATATTATCATCGAGACTATCACTAATGATTGGAGTACTGAAGCAAATTCAAGTTCTTCACCGAACTCGTTCATAACACCAACAAATGCAACAAATAATGACAATCTAACTAATGAGTCCAAGAATAATACAAAACCGAAGTTTACTATCATATATTTTATCATATTTCTGGTGGTTGTCGTTACTATCATAGCGCTCGCAAATACGGTCGCATTCTTTGCTATCTATAGAATGGGTGATGATAAAGATGAGGCTAAAGATGCTCATAAAATGGGTGATAATGACGATAAGATTAGAGATGCGCCTAAAGTGTCCAAAGTGACCATAGGAACAGAATCAGTCAAGACAATCAACTCAGAAACTGGAAGTATTATCCCGAGTCGTAAAGAACCTTCTCCAGTCAATACTATTAACACTCTTGATTCAAGAGTCAGTATACAATAATTTCTAGATTTTTATGTCCGATTGGTTGCGCAACAGAACCAGAGTGTGGTTACGGCCGGAAGACACCTGTCGTACGGCATACCGGCGCTCATCGACAACCAGTTTCTGTTTGCGCGGCAGAAGGATGTGCTCGTCCTCTATGCCACCCAACCCTAACTCGCCGTTGGATGTGTTGCCCCAACAGTACACCCGAGCCATGGCTCACACGCGTTGTCACCGCAACTGATCCGCCGAAGTGTGCGACCGAAGAGACCACGAGTTGGCGTCAATTGAGTGCTTGTATTGAGTGCTGTGTTTGAGTCACGCATTCATTCATTCATTCACTCAACCATTGCTTGCATTGCAAACACAATCACAACACAAATGAATGAACTTTTGAAACCGAAAACAGATTTGCATTCAATTCGCAAAACACTGAAAAAAATGACTTTTTTCTCGAATATTCATTGCTTTCAATGAAAACAATACGTCATTCAATGCATTCACTGCTGGCATAGCCTATGAGTACACCTTTAGTGCACTCATTAAGTGGCGCTCAAGTCGTCGCACCCGTACGTCAGCTAACAGTCCTTCCAGAATATTCTCCAAATATCCACAACTATATCACTGTATTTGATACCCGGCTGATGTAATCATTACCTAAATTGCTATTTGAATTCATACCAAATGACAAGTTTTTATGATTGAAAGATTGGATACTAATTGAAAGCATAGCAACAAAATAGTGATCAAAAAAGGCAAACAAATTCAATGAAAAACTTTTATAACTCATATTATGGTAGAAACAATTGTTGAACATTTTATTATTAATAGTATTTAAACTTAATAACAATAATTGTTTCCCATACAATTAAATGTAACATATTTGACATTTTTATTATGAAATTAATAATAAATTCTATGTTTAATTTCAATTTATTAATATTTGTAACAAAAAGTCTAAATCAATGTCTTGACAGCAGATTCTTATATGACCAAATGGATATTGATAATTCTGATATTATAGTAATTTTCTACATGTTATTACAAAGAATTTCTAATAATAAAGTAGCCGAATGTGTGCACAATTAGTATGTTTTATTCAACAATGATTAGCATATGGGACATAAGAATTTGCCCACATTTTAATATTATAATATAATCTGCTGTCCAGATATAGAGTAGATATAGATATAGAGTATACTACACTTCTGAATTTAGGGCACTTCTCATATAATGCGGACATATCGGTGTAATTGTGGTTTATATTACGCCTATGATTACTATGGATAATCAGTGTCTGAAGAAGTGGCAGTCTTGTGAACGGATCCAAACAAACCTTTTGCTCCCCAAATACGTTTGGTATCTCAAAATGCTGGAGCGCCGGTAGGATTGTGTCTATATTGTCAATGAATTTCTTAACCCCTTCCATACAATACAGTTTCAGATGTGATATACTTTGTGGCCATCGACTCATCCATTCAAATGAATCCCATTGACTGACGTCTGTGTAGAGATAAATTATCAGACGTTTTAACCCCTTGTAATGTCGTATTGTGTCCATAATCTGGTCATTTAGTGATGGATGAGTTGACACGAGTACGAGTGACAACTTCTTGAGCGACACACACTTTACACCGATTTGTTTGAATGAGTCGTACAGTGAGTAAGTGAAGGAGTTGTCATTACTTCTCGACTCAAATCTAAGACTCAATTCAAGTAATTTCGGGAATCGTGTCAATTGTTTCATGAACTCAATGACTGTGTCTTTGGATTCCAGTTCCGGAGGAATACCACTTACAATAAGACATTTGAGTGACTGATTGGCGGCAATGAATGTGTTAAACTTGGAGGAATTGAATTGTGAATACATTGAAAACCTAAATGTCTTTAAATTCTTGACCAGTAATTGGTTTCCGGAATCAAAGACATAGTCTAGAGAATAGACCCTCAGATGCGATAGATTTGGACAACGAGTCAAAAATGGTGTCCATTCTGTCCATTCAAACAAATACACTTTCAAACGAGTAATCTTTTCGCCAAACTTTTCAAACACATATGGATTTACTTGTTCCACATCTGATCTGTCTATCTGGAGGTACAGGTTCTTCAAGTGTGGCCAATGGTCTCTAAACTGTTGGATGGCTTCAAATACTTGCCTCTTATGGTTATAATCATCGAAACAGTCGATTGTCTGAATATTTGGACATTTATTCATAATAATAGCCATACGATTGGTGTCGATGTACTCTTCGGCCAATTCGTTCCGTGCAGTCATTCTCTCAACGAGTTGTTTATCAATAGTAATATCTCTAACAGTATTGTAAACCATTCTCTGGAACTGTTTGGAGACTGATTGGTGTCGAAATCGATTCGGAAATGTCTCGTAAGACAGCAATACTTGACACAAATCATCGCAAATTCTGTCGAAAGAATTTCTACTGAAAATGTTTGACATCTTTTTAGACACAACAAGAATAAAACTATTGTTTAACTGTTGACTAGATTTAAAAACCGTTAAACGACTTTTGATTTAAATAATAACTTTTACTAAACATCTCGAGAATCAATGAATAGATTAGTTTTAACGACTAGATTAAAGTGTTTAAATGGTGAAAATGTCTTCTAAATATATAATCATATTATCATTTATTTTATCTATCTTTGAATGCGATGGGTTTGATCCGGTTTGACATATTTTTTTACTAATTGTTTCTTATACTATAATAATGACTAAAATATAATTCAAAGGATTTGGACATTTGTAAGAAACCAGTTCTCGACTCATCCGTCTATTCAGACGACATAAGCACTTATATATTCAAAGGGAAATACTATTGGAAAGCCAGACAATTAGCATCGGAGTCAGGCATTGGTGGTTTTGCTCAAGAAATCTCTGAAAAGTGGCCGCAAATCACACAACCAATCATTGCTTCCTTCTCTGTCTATACGGATCAGTTCACTACTGTTTTTGTTACTGTATTTCATTTTATTATTTTATTTGACACTTAATTCATAATTGATTTATTAAAACTCATTTATAGAGAGACGAGTGGTTCTCGTATAGAATGGATAAGTTTGTGGCAAAGGGTCCGACATCTTCGTGGCCACAATTTCACTCCTCATCAGTGAACACAATGTTTTCAGACATGTTTAAGAATACGTCAGTGTATCTCATATACGACAATAGTTATCGATATATTGTCTATGACTTTCAAGACTTGTCTAAACCTACTGTCACTTTATCGGGAATCACTTTTGTTAAAGAGAAAAATCTGTGGTTTATGGACGACCACACCTTCTTCACTGCCGATGACTTAACTTTGAAAGATATAATGCAAGTGAAGACATCCATTAGGTATCAAAATACTTTAATTCTGATGTCTGAGAGCAAGTATTGCAAAGTAGATATGATCGTACATTTCAATAAAGAGGTACCGATTTGTCAATTAACATCCGTAACCACTAATCAATGTCTGATCATTTAGTGCGATACAAATGCAAATCTCATTACCGATCTATTCAGTTGTCCACTTGATTTGCATCAGAGACCTACACTCACCCAATTAACCACTGCTAATATTATCATCCAGACTATCACTAATGATTGGAGTACTGAAGCAAATCCAAGTTCTTCACCGAACTCATTCATAACACCAACCAATGCAACAAATAATGACAATCTAACTAATGCGTCCAAGAATAATACAAAACCCAAGTTTACTATCATATATTTTGTCATATTTCTGGTGGTTGTCGTTACTATCATAGCGCTCGCAAATACGGTCGCATTCTTTGCTATCTATAGAATGGGTGATAATAAAGATGAGGCTAAAGATGCTCATAAAATGGGTGATAATGACGATAAGATTAGAGATGCGCCTAAAGTGTCCAAAGTGACCATAGGAACTGAATCAGTCAAGACAATCAACTCAGAAACTGGAAGTATTATCCCGAGTCGTAAAGAACCTTCTCCAGTCAATACTATTAACACTCTTGATTCAAGAGTCAGTATACAATAATTTCTAGATTTTTATGATATATATATTTAATTCTATACAATTCTAGTATCAATAGAATATTTTTGTAAAAATAAATGATTAATAGAAATGTTTATTTAATGTTAAGAGGCAAGAATTGAATGTAACAACACTTGCATTCACTTTAAGTCAATAATGGCATTAATGCAAACATAACTTATTAGATATTCCCAGAAATAGTTGCGATAATAATATGTCATTTCAATCAAAATTCTCTTTGATCTAAAACCACCACAAAGTTGGCAAACAGTTTCAAATTCTGTATCTCATGTGTAGCTAAATATATAGATTGTATATTTTAAACTAATTATAAAATTTAATTTTCATTTTAATTACAATATGGGTTTGATTATAGTTAGGAACTAATCGATGACATAATGCAATGAAAATACTAAATATTGATGAAGAATATAGAAGTCAACTGTTGTTTGGACTCCAAGTCTCTCTCTCTCTCTCTCTCTCTCTCTCTCTCATATGCCGTAACTCTTCAGCAATAGTTATTTATTTATTTTACCAGAATATTCTTCATATATGTGTTTATTTATTTACATCTAAAATGTGTTTCTTTTCTAAATCTTATCCAAATTCAACAGTAAATCTAATAAATCAATGGCTGGGAAGCACCGGCGGTTAAGTGCTTTCAATAATTGTATACATCGTAACCATAACTAACTTTTGATACCACAAAGTATTCTAACAATAGATTTTGTTTAATATTATAATTGGTGTGTATATTATATATTATATTATAAGTGGTTTCGATGTCTCTGTTTCGATATTAGCGCTCAACTTGTGGTGAATATTAGTTTTTAGAAATGTTTTGTATCACTAAAAAAGTAAACCTAAAAAATAAACGATAAAACATCGCCACTATTATAATATTTATTTGCATAATATACGAGTTAATTGTAAACAATATTCACTAGGAAATTGATTTATTAATTTTTATAGGACATGAAAAATAAATGACTTGTTAAGAGTTTTGTTGTAATAATATTAGAGATTAGATATCATAAGTAAAGCAGGGATTTGAAATTAATTAGATTTTGTTAAACTAATACAACTTATCTACTAATCACTTCAAACGAAAAGCCTTAAAAAGATCCAAAATTAGAGCCAAACGCAGAAAAGTATTGCAGAATATTGTGTACAATAATAATAATAATAATTCATCGAAAGTGAAATAAAATTTTCGTTTTCAACTGCAATATGACTACAAAATAAATTTGAATAAAATAGGAAAATATAAGAATATTTGTCAGAATATTATGAAGTGTTTGATTGAAAGGAATGCAGAGCTGTTGAACTCCTGGTGAGACATTTCCTACAACCTATGCATTCATATGAGGGCTAAGTTTTGGCACAAAAGTTACACAAAACTGAATGTCAGAATCTCTTGTGTTGATGTTATCAGTGCCTGTGAGCACGCCATGAGCTGAATTAGTAACAACTGTTGTCTTAGTAACCGTCTTAATCAGACAAAAGACAAGCGATGGTCACGAGCGTTTACACGTTAACATACCGTATCAGTCAGTGTAACATATGTGTCATCGCCTAAATACAATACATGTTTACTTGTATTTCACTATCAATGGTGTAGTTTCACTGTTTAAGTCTAAATGAGAGATAAGTTTTCGAATTAAATATTGAGATCCAAAGCATTCAATGTTTCATAAGAGCTATGTATTGATGAGAATGAAGTTGTGATAAGAAATTGTTTTGTTATCGCAAAACATAATCGATTTATGCATACAATTCTGTACTATTGAGTGATACGAACAAAAAAGTCTAATCACAACCTTTACTCCGTAAACTATGCCAATCGCTAATCCCACTCATGTAACCACAGTTGACAGGCCTTAACATCAGTGAAATTTATATGATATATACGAAACATATTGAATGAGAAGCGAAACACTCGTACAGTAGACTGAGAGAGAAGTTTGTGACGAAAAGGTTTGTCTCTCTCTCTCCCTCTCTCTCTCTCTCTCTCTCTCTCTCTCTCACTAACACGAAGGGAGAGAAACCGATTGTAAATCAAGACTTGTGTTCACAAACTGTAATAAATGTCTTACAACTGTCGGTACTCGACTTAATCATTGTTGACAACAGAATCATTGGCAGAATTAGTCTGTTTTCTGTTCGCTACCAGTGCTCGCAAATGTGCAATTGTATGGCATAGTCAGTCACATTGTATACACAGTAGCGTTAAATACAATACATGTTTACTTGTATTTCACTATCAATGTGTAGTTTCACTGTTTAAGTCTAAATGAGAGATAAGTTTTCGAATTCAATATTGAGATCCAAAGCATTCAATGTTTCATAAGAGCTATGTATTGATGAGAATGAAGTTGTGATAAGAAATTGTTTTGTTATCGCAAAACATAATCGATTTATTCATACAATTCTGTACTATTGAGTGATACGAGCAAAAAAGTCTAATCACAACCTTTACTCCGTAAACTATGCCAATCGCTAATCCCACTCATGTAACCACAGTTGACAGGCCTTAACATCAGTGAAATTTATATGATATATACAAAACATATTGAATGAGAAGCGAAACACTCGTACAGTAGACTGAGAGAGAAGTTTGTGACGAAAAGGTTTGTCTCTCTCTCTCTCTCTCTCTCTCTCTCTCACTCACTCACTAACACGAAGGGAGAGAAACCGATTGTAAATCAAGACTTGTGTTCACAAACTGTAATAAATGTCTTACAACTGTCTCAATACGGATCACAATTAGCTTTGCAATTGACGGTGAGTTTGCTTTTCTAAAACACTTTTATGAGCTCTCACTCCAACCACTCATTTATCAAATGACAACTCAATTAATTCTGTCATAAATTTTATTTCATTTTTATATTACTCTCAAATCTCTGTCCACTTCCACCCTATAATCACACCTTTATCTCACATTCAATTGTCTTTTGTTTTATTAATTTGCAAAACAATAGGTGACTATTGTTTTCAAACTTTATCATAACATTTGATAGTAAGCAAAGACAATATAAATTTTAATAAACATGTTATAAAACAAAAGCTTTTTTAAGACAATATTTATATACCTACACCGCATAATATACAATGTGTGTATATTTAAGTTTTCAATTAAGTTATGATTTATTATATTAATTGTGTTTTCTATACATCATATAAACGATGGCTTTCATTAGGAAATGTATGATTACTTCTTCTTCTTGCGATCGTTTGTCTGTTTCGCAGCTTTCACTCCATTCACAACTTTGGCATTAAGTCAGTGTAAGAGTTATTTGATAACATTTGATCACATTTTCATGTCATCACTCAAAAACTAATTGTATCTCAACTGCTGGTTAGCATTACCTCAAGTGAGGATCGGATCCCAATCTCCGCTAATATATCCGGTCGGCGCTAATGTTCACATCGATTGCCCCGCTTATGACGATCAGACAGATCTACTGTTCTTTGAATGGAGTCGTCCTTTGGATCACATTATTGAAGAAAACTCAAGAATAAGAACCACTTCTAAAGGAGTGCTTAAAATAAAGTCTGCCATCAGTACGGACAGCGGCATCTACTTCTGTAAAGCCATCAATGGGTTTGGAACCGTTACCACTAATGTCACACTTCAGATCGTCACCAATGAAGACTTGCAGTCACTTAACTCCCCAATGGATAACCTCTACCCCCGGGATGACTACCAATCATTGATTGAGTCAAATATTAATTATAATTATAATGAAAAACCTGTAGTCAGTGAACAAGTGGTGCGAGAGTTACCCACACCGGTAGTCATTATAAAGTCTGCGGGACTTTCAGTGAATATGAACTGTTCAGCAAATAGGGTCCGATGGCTCAAGAATGGACATCATCTCACTCTAAGACATCTGCCCGAAGGCTCACACAAGAGTGGAGGTCTGTTAACCCTATCGAAGGTGCGTTTGATTGATAGGGGGAACTACACCTGTGTTGGTATGGGAGAGAGGGGTCAAGTGAACAATACATTCAATCTAATTGTTTACGGTATGTCATTCACAAGTGTTTGCTTTAGTTTAAGTGAACAGTAGTTTAGATTGTGTTCTACACTTCAATAACAATAGAGATAACACACAACCAAATGACTTATTTCTTATCAAATAACTGTATTTCTCATAAAATGTATCCATTCTATCATTTCATAGATAACCGAAAGCCAGAGTTAACGGGATTTCATCCAATCAACACATCTGTTGCATTGGGAGACAAAGCTATGTTCCACTGCAATGTGTCCAGTGACACGAAACCTCACATCCAGGTCATCTATTTACATTTATTTTCATATTCACTCATTTTGGTATTACTGTATAACCGAAAAATAATTATAGTATTTTTAGTAGTGTTAGTATTGTTTAGAATCTATACTTTGCAGGTAGATACTTTGTAGAAATTATAACTTTATGATAAGAAAAGTACTTTATACTACAAGTCTTTATAGTTATTTTATAAAGTCTGATCTAATAATTATCCTAATTACTCTAGATAATTTTTACTTAATTATTTGTTTTTAGTTCTTTTGATTTTCGATTATGAATTGAATTGAATATGATATTGCTTTCTTAATTAATATGATAGTTTAAGAAAGCCATGAATAACAGATTTAATTTCTTAATTTTATTTCTCAAGTTTTGATTTTATAGATCTCATGAATTTTTATGAAACGCGAGTTTCTCATATTTGAATTTTGCAAATAACACAGAATTGTGTTTCACAATAAACACCTTGTAATACAAGGCTTGCATTATAAGTTGACTACAATTTCTTTTTTAACGATTTAGTGGTTAAAGAGAGCAAAGTTCGTGAACTCGGATGAAGCCATCAAAAGACGTTTGGTTAAAATTAAATCAAATTTATATAAAGTAATCAAAACGACTCAAGTGATAGACAACGGCGACGGAAATTATTACAATAATCTGGTCATAGAAAAGACACAATTGAGTGATTCGGGAGAATATATCTGTTTGGCCGCCAATACCGTCGGCTCCTTTGAGTTCACCTTTAAGAGCACTCGACTCACTGTATTGTCGCCACAACTGTCCACTGATGACAATACAGATTACGAGCCCTCCTTCTTATCAGACTCCAACATCTTTTGGATATTAATTACTCTCATACTGTCAGTGGCTATGATTTTGGTCGCAATTCTATGTTATTTACAAAAGAGACAACAGATTGAGGCAAATGTTAACAGAAATATCAATAACAACATCGAGAGTGAAGACACAGAAGCGGAGACACAAAAGAGAGAGTTTACTAATTATTATTTCAAACATAACTCAAATACGAGCTATAATTCAGCCCTTATTCCCAATCAAATGAATGGCAATTATTATGCAAATCGATAAAAGACATGACTTTTTAAATGAACAAAACATTTGTTTTATACTCTATATTGTATTATAAAGAAATCATAACTCATTTAATATTATTATTACCGGTATATACGGTATTTAGTATAGTAACAGTTGTTAAATAAAACATATGAACAAATAATTTATAATCTAACTGTAAATAAACCATATTTTCAAATCATTAACTAATAAAAGTGTTTTCTATAAATGAAACAAACATCAATTTACGGTAAATTACTAATCTAAAGGCTCATCCATTCATCCAAATAAAATGTGATGAAAAACAGACAAAAGCAGACAATGTGTTGAGTTAAACATTGAAAACATACGGGTTTCACAATTATTTGGTCACAGTAATAGAAATTTAAATAAAAAAAACTTTTTCCAAATCTATTGAAAAAGAGTTTTATTTAGAAATTGGAAGAACTATCAGAGAAAAAGTACACATATTTTAGGACAAAACCTTATTAAATAAAAAAAAGTACAATTAACTGTAAAAACAGTAGACTTTAGAAAACATAGAAAAGAGTATGGAATCGACAAAACAGTAAAAAATAAATATTTTAGATACAAATAAACGCAAATTAATGATAACTCTTAGAAAAAAAATATGAAATGATTCTCAAAAAATTGGACTTAAATTTGAAATTAAAAAAAATTGCATTTAATTTAAAATCTTATCACAAAATACTAGAAAAAGACTCGTATATGAAAAGTATGGCCAAAAAGTGGGCGACACTCAGAGCTCATCTTTGGCGGCACCGGTAGTGATGAAGCTCTCGATTATATTAAGCCTTCCGAGGAGTTCCTTCTTCTTGGCGTCGGACACCTTTCCGGACAACAGGTTCTGAACCCTCGCCTTCTCACTCTCGTAGAAGACGACTCCCCTCTCGAGCGCCTTCTCCATGATCTTCACGTAAATGTTGGCCGACTTCTTGTCCGCCTCTTTGGCGACAGCGTCCGCGGCCTTCTTCGCCGACTCCAACACCTTCTTCTGCTTGTCTTTCGTCACCTTTTCGGCCGTGAATTTGGCGGCCAATGCGTCGAACTCTTCGAGACACGAGTCCAACAGGATTTTGATGCCCGCCTTCGCCCTCACGAATGCCTTGATTCGGTCCGCTTTGAACTCCTTGTCCTCAAAGGTGATCGCCTTCTCGAGATCGCCGTTCAGGAAGAGCTTGACGACCGGGAAGTCGTCCTTTTTGATGGCATACCTGTCGGCGAGATCCTGGTTCTCCTTCTCGCCGTAATCCCTGATCCCGACGTCGGCCACGAGTAGGTCGGGAGTGGCCTTGAGATCGGCGGCAACTTTGACCCATTCGTCCTGTTTCTCGCCGTAAGGATAGGCCGTATCGAAGCGAACCAACGATGCCTTGAATTTGGACACAACCTATGGCGAGGACACAACATATTAGAGACAGTGATGGCAGCAATGGATCCAATCATCACTACCTTATCGAAAGTCAATGAATCCAAACCAATGGCACCCTTAGTCTCGCAGTTAATACTAATTATAATCACATTTAATGACAAAACAAATAATAAATATTTTGTAAACATTTTGTATCGCTTTATATGACTAATGGTTTCGTCGGACAAAACAAACTGTGAATTGAATTGCAATTGAATGACAAATGAGAGGAAATGTATGGGAAAGTTGTGTGAAGTGTGTGTTTGAGACCAAAAAGTGGGCAAACAATCAGTAAATGGTTTACAAATTGTATTCAAAAAACACTTTTGTATTCAATATTTTGTCTCAATTTCCAGACGACAGACACAAACGGTGTCCACAAATGACGGCTATATTAGCGTTGCATTGAATGCAATGCATTTGTGCGGCAATGGGAGCGAAATAAGCGCTGATTTGTTCGTTATATTGATGTATGCATTGAATGATACAAAACGTGTAAACTATTTATTGGTTGATTGGGTTGTGTTTGCGATAATCAACGATCAAATTGGAGAGCAATTAATGCCTTAAATATACGGCATTTTCAGTATATTTCGATCAATTAAATATCACTCATTTCCCCTCAAATGCATAACATCTGACGCTAGTCTCAACACATATAGGAGTTTGTGTTATATAATAGTTTAGGCAAACACTGCAAAGTTTGATAAAACTTTTATTTTTTCTTTTATTAAGAATTGGGTTGACTATCACTACCCCCAGACATTATACAGCATAATAATCGCTTATTCATACAGGTATTAAGACCTTGATTATCGTATCAATTGTAATTAAGCTCTCATTTTTGTCACAACTGTCTATAAATTTGATATTTGAGTACAACTCATATTTTTAAATATAATAAGTTATTAAATTCCTTATAAACTCATTCATTAAAGTCTTGAGAAGTTTTCATAAAAATGAAATGAAATGATTGAATAGAGACACTAATTATAGGGTTAAGTGGTTTATATTCACATTATATTGGAAATCGTTTTATAATTAATTATTTGATTGCTAATTAATTATATGACTTTTTTTCATAAAAATGAAATGAAATGATTGAATAGAGACACTAATTATAGGGTTAAGTGGTTTATATTCACATTATATTGGAAATCGTTTTATAATTAATTATTTGATTGCTAATTAATTATATGACTTTGATATTTATATAGTTTGCAAATATTTATTAAATACATTCAATTTAAACACAATTTGAAATTTGGGAACCGTTTACTGAAAAATTATCTAGGTATTACGGTTATAGCAATTACCTGAAGAATAATCAATATAAAGTAATTATATATACCGTAGCATATATTTTATTAATATTTTGTAACACAATTATTAATATTTTTTATATAAAAATATATCATTTTTCATTTGTAAATAGAAATACAAATATAATAAAGTTAATTAGTTTCTAAATAAAGCAAATCGTTTAATAAAACATTTCAATGTCAGCACCACTACAATCAGACAAACCCTCATTCAAATGCATTGATTAGCCATTAAATACGATTTTGTGATTAAATATTGAAACACTTGATTGAAAGCCACGTAACA